TAATTTAAATAATAATAGTTACTAAGCTTCAACTGTTACTGCTAAATAAATATTTAGTGAATGATATTGATATTCTATTTTTAACACAAAATTTGATTGCAAGCTGACATAGTGAAAATATAATTTATATGTATTAATGTAATATTATATGTAAAATAGTATTCTTTTAATAAATATTTAGACTGTCATATTAATTTTTAAATAATAAAATTAAATCTATATTTTACTTAATAGAATTATAAAAGAAATCTATCAGGGGGCAATCAAAAAAATTAATTTTTAATTCAACGGGTTAAGATTCCATTAAAATTTTTTTTGCTTTAGAGGGCTATTCAAATTTTTCAGGGGGCTCGAACCTCTGCGCCCCCTACTGACGCCACTGCTAGATCTCCCGCCTAGTTAGAGTATAATTATTACAAACATGAGATATTTTAATTACATTTTATTTGATACCCACATCGTTATTTTGTGTTATAAAAATATACCTGGTCCCCAATACCTAGATCTGCCCTTTTAGAGTGATAATTATTATTACAATCAAAATATATTTTAATTACATTTTATTTGATACCCATACCCATATCAATATTTTTTATTTTTACCCCCCCCCCCCTAGACTAAGTCCTATCCATCAAAACCAAGAATGAATGTTCAGTTAAAAGAAATTAGCTTTTATTTTATACCCATATTGATTTGTGTTGTTAAAAATACTCCTGAGCCCCCAAGACCTAGACACACGCTTAAAGTAATTATTATTATTAAATAAAAAAATATTTTATTTATCTTTTATGATACCCATATCAAAAAAAATTATTTACCCTCCCCCCTATCCATCCACCTCCCCCCCCCCCCATTAAGACCAAGTCATACCCATCAAGACCAATAATAAATACTTCTCGTTAAAATATATTAATTAGCTATTATTTGATACCCATATCGATATTTTGTTTTGATAAAAATATTCTTGACCCCTCAGACATAGACTCGCCCATTAATGGTAAAATTTTGACCTCTATTCGAATAAATAGATATTTTAATAAGCTATTGGCTGATACCCTATATTCGACATATCTACTTTCATAATCCACCCCCCCCCCCCCCCCACCCCCCCCCCCCCCCCAAAAAAAAAAATTTGAAAATAAATAAAACAAATTAAACGCGTTTTAAATTAAGATTTTCCTTAATCATGGTTCAAACGTGATAATACCGTATAGCTCTTTATCTTTTAAAAATTTAATTCTTAAAAAGATCCCTTTAAAACCCATGATGATCCTGGATAGTTTCTGATCCATTTAAAAATTACGTCACATATATAAAGTATAAAAAAATAGATATTTTTCATTATGATTATTAAAGAAAATAAAAAACTTTTTTGAGTTGAGTTGAAATTGTTGTTACTTGTCTTTATTAAATATTGAGACTACCACAATCATAAAAGACTTTTTCATTTTATTAATTAATCAATATTTTACACCATAGTTTAAATATAACCTAAAGATATTCTGTTATTTATTAGAAACATTATTATTTAATAATCTAAAAATATTAATTATGTTTAAGAATTATTTTAGATCCATTGTCGGCGAACATTGTGATTTAATATTAATGATAGAATCAGATTTTATTTAACATTATAATTTATTTAATATTCAAATGGACAGTGAGATGAATAATCTTTATATTTTATTAACGAATTTCATTTTACCATTCTAATTTTATTATATATATATATATAATATTTTATTTGAGATTTTTACATATATATATATATATTTTTTAAAGAAAATCCTTTAATTTATGTAATTAGAATCTGCTAAATAAATCAGAATCAATCAATAATGAATAAATCAAATGAGTGAATAGTAGATAATCCAAATTTACTCACTGAGAAATATTTTTAATTTCTCATTTAAAAACTTGTTAATATTTAATTTATGAATTGCAAAATTAAATTACCAGACATTTTCTTTTATTATATAAAGTATATAAACAAATAAATAATGTTTATAAAATTAATTAATTTGTGAATTTTTAAATAGGCCTTCTATAATGACTTCTTTCTAGCCTTCTTAATGATTCTTGGTCCTTCAAGTTAGCATGTGTATACTGGTTAAAGATGTCATATCTATTCATAGATTTGCTTTTGTTAGGTAAATAATCAGGTTTAGGCATCTCTTTTATAACATCATTCAAGTAATCACTTTCTACACTATCCTACCTTTCTAGAAAATTAATTTTTCTATTTATAAAAAAATAATACACCTTCCAAGTTCGGTGCTTCCTCTTACATTGCAGATTGTGTGAAATTATTTTCAATATCTCTGCAGCCACCTAGAATTATAAAAATTGTAAATATTTATAATATTCAGAACTCCAAATGTTTTGCTGTAAATTCTATCTTTTTCTAGCATGAAAAGGCCATTCAGGCTACAATTTGGGGTCCGCATCTGTGCAAGTCAAAAATGCTGACTATAATTTCTGGAACCTAATTTTGGTGTTTTATTTGTAAGGCATTGTGATAATTTTTATTATATTCTATAGAATAAAATAATAATTAAGTGATATTAAGCACTTAGCCTTATATAAAAAGAAAAACCCATCAGATTGGTTGGCAATAATTTGTAGGATTAATTTAAATTCAAAAATCACCGCTTTGCAATTATCCGATACAAATAGCATTGTTTAAATATAATGGGGCTTTTATTTTTCTTAACCGATATATCGCAAATAGATTTGCATTTTAAAATATATTTACCATAATCAACTTTCCTTCCTACTTAGATATATTTAATATTATAACTATGACATTATCTATATAATAATATATCTTCTTTGTAATTGTTGTAATTGTTGGAAAAGAAGAAATAAATTTAATATAATACATAAAATGTCTGTTATTTTCTGACAGGGGAATTAAGATTTCCTTGGGGGAAGAAGGGGAGATGATGATCACGGGGTGTGTTTCATTGTTAGGAAAAAGGAGATTGGGAGATATTGAATAAGATGTCAGCTGTGAACCTTTGGGAGATGAAGAAATGGATAATTATATTATATTATATTATATTTTTTTTGTTAATATATAGAGATTGTTGTTGGTGTTTTTTTTAATGAATAAATTTGAGTCGTCTTATTATTATGAATTATGGTTTGTCTTATTATTATGGGATATGGTTTGTTATAGTAATATTAAATTTAGGTGGTGATAAATAATTGATTAAATGTATTTATAACCTTAAATTCCTTTTATATGTTAACTAAAGTCAAATTTTCTTAAGTAGAGGAGTGGTACATCTATAAGCAAGTTTAATATAGTTATGGATATTAGGATTTTTTATTGATTGTCAACTCAAAAAATAATATTGGTTTTGGTCAAGTCATCCTATAGAAATTAATTTTGTTAATTTAATGAATCGGAATTATAGTAAAAGAAAGTATATTTTTTTTATTATTGTTTTTTTTATTTTAAGAAAAAATTTATTATTAATAAATGAATATTATTTTTATAAAGAAAAATAAATATATAAAAGCCTAAAAAATGGTAAATTATGATTATTATTATTTTTTTGTTTCCGCGGCTTATAAATTATTATACATTAGTTTATTTTATTTGTATGAATTATATTTGGATATTAATAAAATAAAATAAAGAATCCGAATTGTGTGTAACATTTTAAAAATTGTGTGTAATAAACTTAAAAAATATCCAGTTTGACACATATCTAATGAGTTCCATAGGACAAAATTATTCATATGATGGAACATCTACAAAAAAAATTTCAAAAAACAATAATTTATCAAGAATTTGCTCACAGAATATTTATAATTTAAAATTTTAATTCAATCATCATTAAATAATTTTATTTTTCAACCCATAGTCATCTCAACTAATGGTAATTTCTCTTAATCAACATATTCTTTTTTAAAAATTTTAGCACGTAAAATTTTTAACATAACAAACGAAAAACGCAAGTCAACCTTCCTAAAACAAAAAATACAATTAGATTTTTAACATAATTATACATGTTTTTTAGGTACTTTTTTACTATAAGCTCTTTTTAGAGCCATCGATATTTTTAAAATTTATACTCATTTTTAATATATGACTTGTTATATTAGATATATTTTATTATTGTAATTTAAAAATTATATCATTTTATTTATATGAAATATTTTAATAATAAAAAATTCAATCATCTTAAGTTAATTTTTAAAATGCTATATAAAATTTAACATATAACACATGTAAAAGAAAATTAAAAAATAATATATTTGCTTCCGTGATAAAACATAGGTCAAAAATAAAGTAATGATATTTAATATTTTCTTTATTTATATTTAGAAAAAAGAAATATTTTTTTAAAAATTTTTTGTTGATAAAAATTAAAATTGAAGACAGGGTATTTCTGATGCGAGTTAACTCGTTGATGGAGATGGTCCCACGTAACTGATAACTGACACAAAAATTGAGAATCTAATGTTTAAGGAAAAATAACCTAAATGTGAAAAAACATTTGATGGTAAATAGAGGGTGAAGGCTGTAAAACAGCCAAAGCTTAGCATCATGAGATTCAGATAGTCTTTTATTTGCTTATTTTGAAGGTGATGGAAAATATATCTCTCACCAATATTATTTTTTTTAAATCCCCTGGTTTTAGATTATTTAGATAAATTCGATTATATTTTGATAATATATTTTCTATTACTTTAAATTCTATTAAAGAGAAATAAAATAATAAAACTTGTCATATAATTTATTATTTTGTCAAAATAGAAATTTGATATTTTATAAATTCACATGCTTTGATAATTATAAACAATCTGTCATGTCTTTATTTTGATAGGAATAATATAAAATATACTATAATATTAAGTATTTAGTGAAATCGAATTGTCAAAAATAAATAATCATTTTTACTTTTCTTCGACTAATTAAATTAAGGTCGTTGTTTATCGAATATAATTATTATATTCATATTTACCGACTATGTTTGCCAATTAAACATTCGTTCATTTAAATATAACTGATCATTCTAAAAAAATATCATTATGATTAAAGACAATATATCGGATGAAGAGTTGAGAACCAAGCTGAAAAGTTACGGAGCTACTTCAATTGGCCCAATCACGCAATCTACAAGAAGTGTTTATCTTAAAAAATTGCAAAAACTTATGAACGAAAAAAGTGAAATAACTATTAATGAGAAAAAGTTAGAGGATACACAAAATAAAGTACCAATAATTAGAAAAACGCGATATAATATTTATAAGGAAAATAATGAAAATATTATTAACATTCAAACAACTGTACCTGATGCAACGTTCATTAAAAGTTCCACTCCAATCATAAATTCATCAATTAAAAAAATTACAAAAACCTTTAATGTAGATGTAAATAAAAATGAATTAAAAATTTCACCCAAATTAACTGTTATTCCTTCAACACCATCGCCTCCATCAAACAAATTTTCCCCTATAAAATCAAATTACAAAGTCCAAAATATACCTCAAATTGACTTATCTTCTATATTTAGTTCTAAAAATAATTATAATAAGCCTAAACAACAAAGTTCAAATATTTTATACCCTAATTTAAATTTTTCTATCCTAAAATCTAATGAACTAGGTAAAAGGAATGCATTATTTAATCAAGGAGATGAAATAATTAATAAAGCTATAAATAGTCAAAGAAATGATGAAATGTCACAAAATATATCACATTCTTCACCACTTCAATTTAAAGATGAAACCTCAAATCCCTATCCTATATTGAGATCAAAGAATTTGTTAATGTCACAAAATACACTCAGAAATAGATTTGATCACGGTGATACCTTGGATGATAAATTTAGCTCAGATCATCATAATAATAAAAGTTGGGATAGAAATATAATGGAAGTGGATGACAATCAAGAAAGAAATTATATCAATGAAAATTTTGGAAATATAAATAAATCAGATAATTATATACCTGTTAGAAATTACCTTGATATAAACCCAAAATATAGATCTTCACATATAGATGATAAAAATATTTTGGATTCAAGATCAAACTATAGCTCTAATCCTAATAATTACCAGAATAGAATAAACACTAACCAAGAAGATAATATTGATGACCAAGATAATCATTATATATCTCGTTATTTAAATTTTTTCAAATCTAAAATTATTCCAAACAATTATAACCATGATCAAAATAGTAGGTGTAGCAGTTTACAATATGAAAATCCAATAAAAATTTCTCCCACCAATAGCAAAAGGAATTTAATGATGCGCAATCAACTTAAAAATGAAAAAAATCCTTATTTAGATTATTATAGCCATTACTACAATTGTGGAACAAAATTTAATTATGCATATTACTTTAATCATATCAAATCATTTTTGTCAAGATCTTTCCATTTCCTAATAAAACCATCCAATTTGCAAAATATTTTATCAGTTGCTTTAGTTTTAGGCCTTATTCTCTTATTATCATCTGCCTATTATAATTTCAAAGATTCTTTAACTAATCAAAATATGATACAAATTAAAGGTTGATTTATATATTTTTTAAATATTAAATAGTTATGTATATATAGGAGAGAAAAAATTTGCTTGTAGTGGAAATGATCAAGTTCAAATATTAATACAATTCTTAAAATAAATATGTTAATATATAATAAAAAATAATTTTAGAAATGTATTATGGAAAATGAGCACATTTTTGTAGTGAAACTTGTTAGGTTAATATATGATCTATTATCTAAGCGTGCTGGTAAAACTTATTCCTAAAAATATAATTTTTGGGCTGTTTTGATCCACATATTTTTTATTGATCTGATCCAATATTTACCTATATTACTATAAACCTTATCCAATATTTATATTGATTTTTATTTACCAACTATCTTTTAATCAATATTATTAAAAATAAACACTTTTTATTTAAAAAAACTAAACTAACGTATGTGTATTTTGTTTTTATGTTCTCCAATATTATGACTGAATGTATAGTATTGTTAAATAGCTCAATTAACTATTATAAATCAAGATTTTAAGCAAAATATTATTACTTAAGTCTCAATTTTGCCAATAGATGTTCAAACTATAATGTCATTGGCAAATATTTAAAAATTGGTAATTTACTCTTAGCTAAAATCTTTATTTAGCCATTTTTAAAAATTGTATAAATTGAGCCTTTTAACAATTAGAACTGAATGTGACTTGTTAGATATTTTATCCAACAAGAAATTTTAAATTTAGTTACTCTATCTTTCAAAATAATTTGATTTTTTTAAGCTTTACAAATAAATTGAATTTTGGTTCCTTTTATTTATTTATTATCATTATGAAATTATCTATAAAATAAAAAATATTATATTATACAATCATAGAATAACCAAAAACTATTAAAATATTGGATTGGATTGGGTTTTTTTAAAAATATTGGCCCATTCCAATTTTTTAATAAACACAAAATATCCAATCTTGAATTAAAATTGGTACAGTTACAGCCTTATTTTATTTAAATAAATATGATTGTTAATTCTTCTGTGCTATTTATAAATTTTTCAAAATGAGTAAAATTATATCTAGTTTTGTTAAAAATTTTGATTTATCAGATTTTTTTATAAAAATAGCTAATAGCATTTGCAAATGTTTTTTAAATTAAAACACTTTGATGTTTAAATTGAATTGGTATTTTTAAAAATATGAAAAAATAATAACTTTAAATTGTATTATTTGAATTTGACTGTTATATATTTCTTCAGTATTTTATTTGAAATTATCAGTAATTTTAAAAATAGTTGGTTTATTATTAAGTTTACCCATATAAAATTAATATGTAAGTGTATCCTTTAAATATATATTTTTTGGTATTTTAGATTTGCCAGTATATATTTTTTCCATGATATTTTAATTGATATGTCATTAAATATATTTTTCATTTATTTTTTAAATTATTACCAAAAAAAATGTGATTTAAATCTGAGATTTGCAAGACCTGCCATTTCAGCCTGCTAAGATATTTTGCACAAATGGCCTATCTCAGCTCGTCTTTAAATGTTTGTTCAGTCCATAAAAGCTCAATATTTTTTTTTATTTCCCAGCCTGGCCCTTTAAAATCTTATGAACAGCAGGTCCAGTCCATTAAAATTTTATGAAAGATCCAGCATAGCTTTTAATTTTCTATACATTAGGGAATAAATTTTTTTATTTGAATTATAGATTTTGGTGAATTAGCAGTAAAATGAAAATAAAAAAGCCTCTTGTTTTTATTTTATATCAAAGAATATTAGTAAAATTTAATATCATAAATTTTTGAGGCTTGTTTTTATGTATGAATCGCCCAACACTGTCCATTAGATATTTTTCTCAGTCTGTCTCATAATAATTTTTTTTTAAAGAGGACTGGTGTAAAATTAATTTGTGGGTAAAAATTTGTTATTATAAATAATTTTGTATAAATTTTAAGATTTTTGATACAAAATATAAATTATATTTATTATAAAATGTTAAATTTTTTAAAATTGAATCAAACGTTATTAGCTTGTGATATAATTTTTTTTAAAGCTAAAGTTTCTAGATAATAATGGTAGGAGATGACAGCCAAATAAATTTATGATATATCCAAGATATAAAGATTATAAGCTGATAAGGCTATATCTTTAAAAAAAATTATAAAAATTTAGTTGTTAATAAATTTTGCTTATATCTTTCCCATGAACTTTAGTAAAAAAGGAAACTATAATTACAGTTTGAAATGCTCTTCAAAATTAAATTTAGATATTTTATACGGTGATATTACAAATTAAAAAGATTTTTTATAATTACACAAATATAATTTTCTAGCATATTTACCTAAATCTCAAAAAAAATTGTGAAATATCCTTTTTAAGTTAAGTCCAAAAAATCGTTTACAATGAAATTACAAAATTACAAAATTTTTTATAATTACTCAAACAGAATTTTCGAGCATATTTTACCAAAATCTCAAAAAAAAATTGTGAAATATTTTTAATAAGTTAAGTCTAAAAAATCATTTATGGTGAAATTACAAATCAGAAATTTTTTTAATCTTCTTTAACAAAAATCTTTCTTTAATTTTGTAACCATTCAAAAAATTTTTACTTAAACTTTTGCGAAATTTTATTTTCAAATTCTGATTATAACAATTTTCACTGATAATTCCTAATTCTATCTTTGTCCAATAATAATTTTTTTTTTATAAAATCATAAAACAAATTCTTATCAATAATAAAAAAGAATTTACATAAAAAATTGGTTAATGATAGTCACTACCTTAAAGTAATACCTATCAAATTTGTATTTTGTTTATTTTTCATTTGGATAGACAATACCAAATTTATTTATAATATATATTTGAAAAATCATAATATATATGGGAAGCCTCTGTGGCCTAATCGGCAAGAGCGTCGCTTACCAATCCGATGATTATGGGTTCGAATCCCAGCAATGATCATTTTTTCTTCTTAATTTAACTTGGTGGTTCCGTCCTTGGTTAATGATACATAGGAGGCCGGACTCGACCACGTGATTCCGTTATAATATTTATTAAATAAGGTCTTATTACATTTTAATAAATTTTGGTCGGTATTTAGCAAATTTGGTTGGTATTTAGAAAAATGGTATCGTTGACTTGGTAGTGACTATCATTAACCTAAAAAATTAAGCAATCCAATTTTCTTAAATCATATAAAAATTTTAAAAAAATTAAAGCAATTAATATATAAAGGTAAATGCATTTCTAGTTATTATTATAATAGATAGTAACTAATGCAAGATTATGTTAATCTAAAAAATAGAAGAAATATATCATAAAGGGGGAAGAAAATAAGAAAGGAAAAGTAGATATAGGAAAGCTCTTTAGAAAGATTCGTTTAAGCCAATGTGGTTTGCATCAAGAAAAGCGATGACTAACCTCTGTCTAAGGTAGAAACCCTCTCGAGACTCGCCGAAGAGCTTAGATATTTGAATCCAAAATTTGAAGAGGGATAAAACATGTTTACCACAGGAAACTAATTTTGAACAAAAAAAGAAGAATTCTCAACGTCCTACAAAACTCGGATCTTTGAAGCATAATCTTGATTTTCTATACGCCTACGACATACATAAATGATTTTTTACCTGCAGAATTTGCGGTTTGTCTTTTTGTCCAGTGTCTTCTTGCCTGGGTCATTTTGTCCAGGACATTTCTGTCCGTGATTCACATCTATCACTACCCAATTTAAGATTTTTACTGATCAAAATAGCTGATCAATTTTGTATTTAATTACCAATTTTATACTGGGTAAAAATGGAAAAAAATATATTCTGATTAAAAATAGTGAAAATTTTGAAAATAATATAGGTTTTAATGATTGATCTTTAATATTTATGACAACGAAAATGCTTCGATTTGATTACCTAGTCGCCAAGATTTCACTAATAGATTTTTTTTAAAAATCGGCTAAATTTTTAACAACACTCATTTGATAATTATTTTATATTTTAAAGTTGATTATTCTATTTTAAGTCTAACCAATATTTAATTAATTGATAATAGTCGTTTTTTTCTATAAATTTAATAGTTTTGTTAAACGACTTTATTTTTAGAAACGGCTAACCCCAAGAGATTTTGCTCAGATGGCAAAAAGGCTAAACATCTATTAACGAAATCTCGAGGCATGCGTAACATTTTTTGGCTAAAATATTTGATTAGCCTTTTTTAATCGAACCAATACCTATCTGTTTTATGTATTGATTACATTATATATATGTTTTAAAAAATTTATTTCAGTTTAATATCAGTCATTTTTTTTAATGTTTAAAAGGGCGATATCAGTGCAGTTTTATCAACCTCGGACCTAAAAATTATTCCATTGATGATATTTTATTGCATCTCAAAGCCAAATACGTAATTTTCATAATATTACATCGTATAAAATTAAATATTGGATTTATAACAATTTAAATTTATATGAATGAATATTAAAGTTAAAAAAAATTAACATCAATTATCATTATTAATTTTTTTTAAAGAATCAGCTGATTCTTGTAAGTTCATCATTATAATTTAAAGTGTCAAATGCACTATAATTTAAAAAAAATAGGGTTGGCATGGTCAATCGTTTTTTTAAAATATTTAATTTAGTCACGTGGTGCACTTTTTCTGGGATATATTGACTTTGTGCTTTTATACATTTTAAATCTATGAATAAAATTTCTTTTTTAAAAAATAACAATATGGTTAAAATGTTGTTTAACATGTTTTTTATCGCTCTGTTTAGATCCCTGCTCCCCTATCTCCTAATAATCTTTAGCTATATAATTCTAATCATAAAAAATAGCCAGGTATCCCCAAATTTCAAATGAACGAATACTTAGTGTCGGCTATCAAGATGATGATGGACAATCCTCACTGGGGGATCAAGTAATTACCAAATATATATGCCAATTCCTATTACTTATAATAATAGCACGTCTATTCACTAATGTCACTCGACTATAACATGTAAATATAGTTGTTAGCAAGAGCTTGAAACTGGAAACCCCGAATTAGGGTACCAGTTTCTAACGAAAACTCAACTTGTTTAATATAAAATGTTTTATGATTCATTTAACGTTTATTTTTTGAATTTTTTAAAAATTTGATTGTTGAGTTTTGAAAGCAGATCGAACTCTCGGAGCCATATCTAATAACCAGAACTTAGATAACATTTACAAATTTTTTCAGGAGCCGGTATCAATTTTTAAAAGAAAATATTGGGAGCTCGAGAATCAGAACTATTTTTAGTGTATAAGTTCTAGATTATGTTCTGGCTACTGTATATATATATGGTGTGTTATTCCTGATTGCACACCACCATGTAATGGAATTCATTTTACACTAGATCTCGGAATTATTCTTATTAATAAGATCTCCTCTATAATCATTTTTGTTTCTTTCATCTCGCATCTTAAGAGTGCTTTATTTATTCTATGTAGTCTTTAATGATTTATCCATTATATTATAATATATATTATGCTATGCATTGTATATAATCAAATCAAATAGCTTAGCGGATAAATCGGGCTATAACAGCAAGATCAAACTGCCAACCGCTTACGACGTATATTGGTTAGAATCCGCGCGCCCCTACATACCCCTCTGGTGCTCGGGTTTCAAGGGACTCGGATATTTGCTCTCCAAAATCTTTTCCTATTCATTAAGTTTTTATTTATTATTTTTTAAATTATTTTTTGATATTTTGAATCCGACTCTTAGGGTAATTTTGGATAGGAGATTGGGATGAAACCATGCGAACAACTCGAAATGGAAATATAAAGAAAGTGTAGCAAATTGGCAGTAGGAAGGGTAGAAAGTAAACTATAGAAATTGGTCATTAGGAGTTGGAATATTTTCTTGAATTAGACTTTTTTAGGCTGAATTTCCACATACTTTTGGAATTTAGACTGCTTCACATTCCAACCTAGAAGTTCCTTTCTCAATTTTTCAGGATCCCAACTTAGTGTAGGTCCTGATGAATAATAATCTTTACGATTTTAATTTTTTTTGTCATAGTATACAAACAATATTAACTTGCTCCTTAGTAATAGGGTTTTTTTTACCTCCTTGCTATACCTAATTATTGAGGATTTCTTGACTTATTGTGGAACTATATCGAAGTCCCATGGTGATACTAAGTATTTAGTTGTCCAATCTCTTGATGAAATTTTTTTAATTCATGTTTTATTAAATGTCAAAATTAATAATTGATGCGAATTTTAAAAAATATATATTATAGTCCTGATCTTTTTGTCACTCTTGGGGTTCGTTTCATTCAAATTCATCTGTTATAAAAGGCGCCAAAACGAAAAGGTCTATCAAATGATTCGCAAAGCTCTAGGTTATTATTTTTTATATCACATATTTGAAAATAAGATATAATCCCAAAATTTCCTAAAATTAAAAAATTGTGAATATTATATATCATTCATTTCATACTATTAATGCTCCAGCATGCTATATATATTTAATGTAATGTTGTTAAACGGCTCAATTTTAGCCGATTTTTAAAAACTGCTAGCTCAATATTTTATCCATAAAAATATTACGCAAGCCTGAAGATTTTGTTTATAGACGGTACAAAGTAGGACATCTATTAGCGATATCTTGAGGCTTAGGCCATATTGCTAAAATATTGAGTTAGCCGTTTTTAAAAATTAACTCAAATCGAGCCGTTTAACAACACTAATTTTATGCATATTATCAGGATTAGTGTTGTTAAAAAGTCGAGTTCTTACGACTTGCGACTCGAGTCGTAGTCGTAAAAAACGGCTCCGACTCAAGCCAATCAAGGAGCCGCATGAGCCGACTCATGTAGTCGGCTCGCTTAGTCAGCTCGTGTAGTCGGCTCGCTTAGTCGACTCATGAAGTGGGGTACATGTTAGCAACACTTATTTTAGCTAATTTACGTCAAAAAAATTTAAAAACTTTAAAAACAACGATTATGACAATGGTCACTTATCAATGGTACATCTTCACTAAAATTTTATTTAAACATGTTAGCAATACTTATTTTAGCCCATTTACGTCAAAAAATTTAAAAAACTTTAAAAACAACGATTATGACAATTGACACTTATCAATGGTACATCTTCACTAAAATTTTATTTAAACATGTTAGCAATACTTATTTTAGCCCATTTACGTCAAAAAAATTTAAAAAACTTTAAAAACAACGATTATGACAATTGACACTTATCTATGGTACATCTTCACTAAAATTATATTTTAACATGTTAGCATTACTTATTTTTGCCCATTTACATCAAAAAAATTTAAAAACTTTAAAAGCAACGATTATGACAATTGTCACTTATCAATGGTACATCTTCATTAAAATTTTATTTTAACATGTTAGCAATACTTATTTTAGCCCATTTACGTCAAAAAAATTTAAAAAACTTTAAAAACAACGACTATGACAATTGTCACTTATCAATGGTACATCTTCACTAAAATTTTATTTAAACATGTTAGCAATACTTATTTTAGCCCATTTACGTCAAAAAAATTTAAAAAACTTTAAAAACAACGATTATGACAATTGACACTTATCTATGGTACATCTTCACTAAAATTTTATTTTAACATAATACTTATTTTAGCCCATTTACGTCAAAAAAATTTAAAAAACTTTAAAAATAACGATTATGACAATTGTCACTTATTAATGGTACATCTTCACTAAAATTTTATTTAACCCTTTCGCGCCCAGCGAGATCATTTGTCATCAAAATTTTTAATCAATTAATTTTTATATTTAAGAAACTAATGGTTGGTACTTAGAGATATTAATTTATAAAACAATATTTATTATTTCGTATTTTATCATTAACCTGTCAAAATCATTATTTTATTATATCAAAATGTCAAAATCATTATTTTATTATATCAAAATACAAGTATTTTTTGTTCATGGGAAATATTCCGGGCGCGAAAGGGTTAAACATGTTAGCAATACTTATTTTAGCCCATTTACGTCAAAAAAATTTAAAAAACTTTAAAAACAACGATTATGACAATTGTCACTTATCTAGGGTACATCTTCACTAAAATTTTAATATAACATATTTACAATCTATATTTTTACCCACTTGCGTCAAAAAATTTCAAAAATCTTTAAAAATAACGATTATGACAATTGTCACTTATCTATGGTACATCTTCACTGAAATTTTAATTTAACATCTTTACAATATAAATTATATTTTTACATTTTTGTTTTATAAAAATTAGGTATATAATCCCTGAAGCTGAATTCGGGTCATGAGCCATTTTTAGTTACAACATGAATATTCTTATAATTTTGTACACATTAATCAGTAACTCAAAATTTAGTAATTTACCAGATATAAAAAAACAAAAAAATTGAGCAGACCCAGCGAGTCGACTTACACGAGCTGACTAAGTGAGCCGACCAATGCGGCTCATTTAGTCGACTCAAGTCAAAGTCGTTTTATCGACTAGAAATTAGGCTCGAGTCGCAGCTAAGTCGACTCGGCTTAGCCTTTAACAACAGGATACCATTTGAGTTGCAATTTTTAATATTATTGCAATTGTTAATATACAGGAGGGTTCTATTAATCTCCTATAACTATTTTGTATTACATTTTAAAAGTTAGTCCTACATTATACACGTGAATCGCATAATAAACCTTATCCTTGCATATTTTCCTTAGAGAAAAATGTCTGAAGAAAAAATATGAAACTTTTTCATTAGAAAACTTTTTTATTTTTTCAAGCAATATCGGCTGAATATTTAGTGTTCTATGTCTAGATCTTTATTTTTACAAAATTCTTAATTTTCGATAAATTTATTTCAGTATATATATATATATTCCTCTCCAATCAACAAATATTTTAAAAAAAATTCTAAATTCTCCTGATAAATATAAAATGGATATCGATCCCTCTAATACTCGGCCCACGATTTCACGAATATTTTTGCTATAATTAGAAATATATAATATATTTAAAATATTGATTGACAATTGTATAATATTTCAGATATAGTCATGAAAAACGATGAAGCTTACAAAAATTCTTCTGCGAAGGATACCGAGATTTTTCCTTACATTGCGATTTCACACGTCAGGGACATGCTAATTCCGCCCAACAAACGGTTATTGCAATTTAAAACAAGAAAGAATATATTTGAGGAATCTCCTAGTAGTGATGATTACCTATTATAAGTTGGGTAATGCCTAAATAATGGCTAATTCGTATCAGGAAATTAACTTATTGCTTTTTTTTGAACTATAATTCCAAAAAACCATATCCAAAAAGAATAGTATTCTTTTAAATAGTTTGTCGCTTCTCGTTTAAAATCGTAAAATTCTTTAATATTAAATTTAAATCTTGGTTTGAGATATCATTGATTTGAATATTATAGTTATTTTTTATTCCTATGAATAAATAAAAAAATTATCAATTATCCTCCAGTTTTTTTTTTGAATAAATAAAAAAATTATCAATTATCCTCCAGTTTTTTTTAAAAAAAAAATCAGAATATTCATTAATATTCATTAATATTAAATATATTATATTTATTTATTCTTTGAAATATTCCATTTTTTTAATCCCCATAAATTTTTCACTGGAGGGAATTGAAATAAATTGTCGAAAAAACAGACAAGAATTAAGATCAACATGGACTCAGGTGCTCTATCACATGAACAATGATGATTCTAGGATAAGGGTTGAGGCTCAGACCATTCACGGAGAACCTTTCGAAGTGTGGAAATGGATTCCCCACTATCACCATATCGAAGAGGTTAATAATTGCATTTCAAGCATATTTTACACATTTAAAATCGGAGATGCACTTATAACAGAGACTTGCAGAAGTACCATTTACACCACCCGGCCTAGCCCATGTTTTATATATTCAGATCCGGTGTAGTATTGTAAAATCAGTACCATCTAAAATCAATATCATATTGATAATTTATGACCGAACCTCAACTTTTACAAATAAAATCTAATATAATTTACAAATCTTTGAATCGACATTTATAGATGAAGCCAGTTTTAATATTATTGCAATAAAATATATATATACAAAGAAAAATAGTTGTTTCAGTTTAAAAGAATAATTTAAAACATTAAGATTTTATTTTATAAATTTCTATATAAAAAATTTTGTATGCCATATTAAATTTTATTCAGCTAAATAATTATATATGCATCCAAAAAATAAAATGACAATTTTAAGAAGCCAACAGGAAATGATTAAAACATAATCAGAATGATAGATATTGATTGAGATCCTTTGACGTAATAGAAACTCTCATTTGTCTGTGATTAGCTTAAGCTTTTGTCTATCAAAATTTTAAGGCTTGAGATCCCAATAATACGATGGAAATGAAGAAAACTTTTGTATATTGTATTTATTTAAAATTTTCTGCAGGATGGAGTTGAATAAACAATATAATTTTAACCATAGGAAGAAAATTATTACAAATAATGAGTAAACAAATAAAAATTATATAGGATATTAAAAATTGTAAAATAAATAAATTCCCTGAAAAATTATATAAAAGAGAAAATCATTTTTATAATCATTTAAATATATTTAAAACTATTAAATCTATTTTAAATAAATTTTTTATAAATTGAAAATGTTCGCCAATATTTTTGAAGCGATGAAAAAATATATAATTATAAATATTTTACAATCGCCAATATATTTGAAACGATGAAAAAATATATAATGAATAAATATTTTACAATTTTAATGACCGCCAATATATTGAAGATGAAAAAATATATAATGAATAAATATTTTGCAATTTTAATGGCCGCCAATATATTTGAAGCGATGAAAACATCTCTTAAAGATCAATACGATATTGATTCTGCAATACCAAAATATCACTACGGTATTTAAGCTATAATGGGTATTGATTTCACAATCCTACAAAGGCCTGGATTTTTTTAAAATATATTACATTTATTTATAATTTTTATACCTAATAACGGCTATATATTCGGTGAAATATACAGCCCGGTCTTGGTATTTTTTTTGAAATTTTTTTTTAGGCCTGCTCGGGTATTTAAAAAAATTTTTTAAGCTCGATCCGTGTACTCGGCCATAGGGCCTGCAGGTTTCTGACTTATACTCAAAAATAATAATTGAACGCTCATAAATTATTAGGTTTTATCCTGACTCATCTTATTTCCAAGAAAGAGACTATTTAGATTTAATAATACTAGCTTAAAATCTTAATAGACTGGTTGGTCTAATCAGAAATACGTTTCAAAAAGAAGGCGAACAGGGCACGGTCTTAAAATATTTTTCAGTTGTTATTTTCCTTTTTTTTTTACAGTTTTAGAAATCTTATATTAATTATTAAATATGTCATCTTGATATAAAATGTGAAAATGTGAAATTGAAATGGATCACTAACAAAGTTTTTTTTAGAAAGAATGGCTTAATTTCAAGTTGTAGATGATTTCAAAAACTTTTGCCTTTTGGTCGAATTTATAGTATTCACGAAAATAGCGATGTATTTGCCTTGTTTTTTTTGAATAATTAGTGTTTGTTAAAAACCTCGATTATTTAACCAATTTTTAAAAAAAAACGACAATGACCTAAATCTTGATATTTCGCCAATAGATGATCTAAAATTTGGCCCTCATTTATACACTCTGTATAATGGGCATTTTTTAAAAAATAAATTTTAGCAATTGCAAAGGAAATGATTTTTCACAATAACCAGAGATATAACAAGTATCGAACCGATCATATCGCAGTATCGGTTATTATTAGATATCGGCATCGAATTGGTATCAATATCGGCAATAAGAGGGGTATCAGGGCATCTCTGACAATATCCAATATTTTACTTATTATTATTACTAGAAATTCTCATATTCTTAATACCACTGTATAAAATGGATTTGTCAGTGTTAAAATTTGATTAATTAGCTCGATAACGATTTATGATTAACATGGAAGAAAGAAGAGAAAAATAAATAGAGATTGAAATAAAAAATTCTAGTAAAGAAATTTTTTTTAAATAAAATTAAATAGGAGAACGACAATGGGAAATTATGGCAAGGTCCGGCTAACGATGTTTCTAATCAATATGGTTCCCAGGGATTGACTCAATGCCTCAAGATAAGGAATATGTTCGACAAAAATATGTAAAAAAAAATAATGATGCATCCATCTCCAATTATGTTTATTATTTGGAGTTATTTTTTCGTTCAATTATTTGTTTCCTATAAATTTGATTTGTTTAATTTTTTTAGAATTCTTAATTTTAAAATTAAAAATATTTCTGGAGTAGGACAGTTATTTTTTAGGAAAAAAAAATTCAAAATTTGTAATATTAGGAATATTTTTTGATAGTTAACTAAGAAATTAGATAATAGCCATTTTTGGACATTTCACTCGATTACAAAAAAAGCAAAACTAAGTTTTTAGCTTAAATCGAAATCCCTAAAATTAGCTATGAATTTATTAATGTATGTTATCATATATATGTATAAAATATCTTACGAAAATTACTAAAATAAAGGGGTAAAAATGCAATTCTTCTTCTTCTTCTTCTCCGTTTTATAGCGATTTCTAGGTTTACTCGGGTAGGCCAGTTTTCCCTCTGATTTTTCTTTTCCATTTTTGACGGTCCTGAGCATCAATACTTGTAAGATTCAAGCTTCTCATATCCGCCGCTATCACATTTGTCCACGTCATCTTGGGTCTTCCTCTAGGTCTTGATCCTCCTACTTCCATCATTGTGCATCTCTTTACCCAGTCATCTCTTGTCATACGTTCCACATGCCCAAACCATCTTAGTCTATTTCGTCGAATTACCATACCAATCATTTCTATATCTAATCTTGCTCGCAATTCCTTGCTAGTTTTTCTCTCTCTCAGAGATACCCCACACATCCATCTAACCATCCTCATCTCTGTTCTTTCTAATTTGGCTTCGTGAATTGCTTTCATTGCCCATGTTTCACCGCCATAAACTAAACAACTCCTCACACAGCTTACGTAAACTTTCCCCTTTAACTTCAGAGAAACTTTTTTATTTGTAAGAATAGACGACATCTCTCTGAACTTCTTCCAAGTTTGTCTGATCCTTGCAACAACATCAGAATCTACACCACCATCTGCGTTTAGCATATCACCTAAATAACAAAACTTATCCACTTTTTTAGGTTTAACCCATTGCCAATATCCAGACCACCATTTTTTAGGTTATCATTATTATGTATCCCTTTCATGCATGTTTTACATATAAAGGTCATTCTTTCTAACATCAAACTGCCTTTTTTCCCGCTACATCTTTTATGTACCCATTTCTGGCATCTGGTGCATTTGATAGAATTTCTAGCAACTCCTATTCCCCTATACACCACAAGGCCACTTACCTGATTCTTCTATCTTTAGATTTTCCCCACCAATCATCACCTTTGTTTTTGATACATTCATTTTCAGGCCCTTTGTTTCCATAGTCATCTTCCATTTACTAACTTTATCCCTCATTTCTCCCTCACTGTTTGCCATTAATACAAGGTCATCTGCATATAATATCTCCCAGGGAAGTCCTTCACGCATTTCTCTAGCCACCACATCCATTACTAAGATAAATAATAATGGACTCAGCACGGATCCTTGATGAAGTCCTACCTTCACCTCAAAGCTGTCACTATCACCATAATCCGTCCGTACTGCTGTTTGTGCTCCAACATACATTGCCATCACTGCGGTAACTAACCATTCCTCCACACCGGATTTTCTCAAGGCCCATCTTGTAATCTCACGCGGCACCCTATCAAATGCTTTCTCCAAATCAACAAACGCATAATAGAGTTTCTTTTCCTTCGCAAGATACTTCTCCTGAATTTGTCTCACCACAAAAATTGCATCTGTCGTGCCTTTTCCCGATGTAAAACCAAACTGCATTTCATAAATTTTGATTTGTTCCCTTATCCGCTTTTCTAAAACTCTCTCAAATACTTTCATTGCATGTTCCAAGAGTTTAATAGCTCTGTAAGACCCACAATCTAAAGGATCACCTTTCCCCTTGTATACAGGGATAATTATACTTCTTCGCCAGTCCTCGGGAATAGTACCTTCTGTGACAATCTGATTTGCTAAATTCATTTACCATTCAATCCCTAAATCATCAGAACCTTTAAACATCTCTGATACCACCATCGTTAAACCCGATGACTTCCCTTTCTTCATCTTTTTCACTACTCTCTTTATCTCGTCCTTGCCAAATTTACACCCTGGACCTTCTACCTTTGCACAACTAATATTATTATTCCATTCATTTTCTTCATTCAAAAGTCTTTTCATGTAAATCTTCCAGGTGTTCTTAATACCACTACTATCAATCGTCATTTTTCCTTCCATATTTTTCAAACACTTTACACCTATCACATCCTGCCTCTTTTTTGACATCTGTTTTGCCATTCTAACCATATTTCCAATTCCATCAGCGCATTCCATTTCTTTAGCAAACTCGTGTCTTTTTTCTTCTTGAGCCTTCGCTATTAATTTCTTAGCATTTCTTTTAGCCATCTTGTAAATATCATTATCACTATTTTCTTTGCTATTATACCATACTTTGAAACACCTCCGTTTCTCATCCACGGCTTTCGCTACCTCCGGGCTCCACCACCAAGTCTCCTTATGTCTAGGCGGCCCTTTTGTCCATCCACATACCTCCTCAGTTGTCATTACCCAAGCTTTCTTCATGGCTTCCCACTTGTCATTCACCCCAGATGCTTGTGCCACCTCCGCCTCCCTAATCGCCAATGCCATATTGAATTGACTTCCAAACCTTCAGCCTTGGGACAAACTTTCTTTTAGTGACCCTGGCACCTTTAAGAGTGAGATCTCCTACAACTAGTCGATGCTGATTTATACATTCCTCTCCCGGTATCACTTTCACATTTTTTATTATACATCGATCACATCTCCTTAATAACAAGTAATCCACAACACTTTTGGTACTACCCGACTTATAAGTCACCAGCTTCTCTGATTCTTTCTTAAACATTGTATTACAAACAATCATATCCATAGCATCACTAAATTCTAAAATCCTCTCTCCTTCCAAATTTCTCATGCCGTAACTGAACCCTCCATGTACTCCTTCATAACCCTCACTACTCGCTCCCACATGTCCATTCAGATCGCCAGCCAGGATAATCCCCTCTTCATTTGCCAGTCTCGATGTCACCCCCAATAGACTGTCCCAAAATACATCTTTCTCTTCTTCACTTCTTCCAACCTGAGGAACATATGCCGAGATCATATTATATAGCTTTCTACCAATAATCATCTTGATAACCATTATCTGGTTGTCTAGCCTTCTCACTTCGACTACTTTGTCTACCAATTTCTCCGCAACCAATACCCCAACTCCAGCCTTACCATCATTACCTCCTTGCCAAAAGAATTTATACTTTTCGCTAGTCTTGCCAATCATTCTGGTCCCATTTCCTTTCCATCTAGTCTCCTGTATGCAGCACACATCTATATGTCTTCTGTGCAATACATCGACGACTTCTCCCGCTCTTCCCGTCATACTCCCAACATTCCATGTCGCGACCCTAACTCGATCACCCGTTAACTGGTTTCTCCACTTTTTATCAGGTCGTTTATGGCCGTCATAGGTTTCATTTTCATGAATAGTGGTTCCACCAGGTTTCCCATCCTTCTTTTTGTCGTAGGCGGATGAGGAGGCCCACGGGGTACTTTGGGCTGTACCCCGCCCATGCTTTGTTGTAACCATAGGGAAATTTTTGTAGCAAGGTTTTTACAATCGGATGCCCTTCCTGACATCAACCTCTTTAAGTGGTTTTTACACCCCGTCGAGGAGACGGTGATCCTATTCTAGACCCAGATCACAGGGAACCTTTTAGACCTCCATTTGCCGCCAAAAGACGTTGCCACTCCCCCGCCACGATGAGGCTGAAGGTAGGATTTTGGGAGAGTAAAAAAAATGCAATTGACTAAAAAGAAATTTTTTTCTTAATTAAAACAATAAGTGCGTAAAAATATAATCTGAATTTTATTTTTCAGGCGTAAAAATACGTACTATATTCAAAATAAATTATTATCTAAGCATAATAAGATATTAGAATAAATATTTAATATTTTCAAAAAATATATTCCGAATCCCCATGGGAACTCAATTTTTTTTTGAAAAATAACAAAGAATTCTCATTTTGGGATTCAAACTCCCATAAAATTCCATATCCCAATACAACATTTACACTCATTACTCTAAAATATGGAAATATCTATACAATGAGTTAAGCAGACGATAAAAAATTTTTAAATATACTAACGTTCGAAATAATCTAGATTTTTGGTAATCATATTTTGCATTGCTTAGTTTCGGTTTTATCTATTAATATGGCTTAAAAGCGAGTATGCTCAATATGGCCTTAGCCTTATAAATTTTTAGAATTTTCGTCATTTATTATTACCTCTCAACAGATGACGGCTTAGGACCCTACGGTCTGACCACTATCCCCTTGACCATGGGCAACACCCTTATTTGGGATATACATGTGTCCCACCCTTCCCCATTAATAGTAAATATAACCTGCTTATCCAAGCAGAGAATAAAAAAATAAATAAATACAAAATCCTTAGCATTAGCAACGTCTACCAACGGCAGTTCACTTCTTTAACTTTTAGCTTTTTAAAAAGTTTTGCTTACAAAATCATCGCAAACATCTAAACAAAGGGAATTGCTATTCCTCAGTCAGAACATACAAATCAATATTTTTAACTATTGTTCCTCTAGGAACTAAATTAAATTTTTTTTATTAAAGTTTATATTATTTTACATTTATATAGTTTTAATAAATTATTTAATGAATAAAATTAATGATATAATTGCAAAATAATTTACAAAAATATAAATTTCATTTTGCCTCTAAAAATAATTTTCATTTTTATACGATTATTTTTGGATATTTAAAAGTGATTTTTTCTAAATAATGACATTATGTTTATTTTTTTAACTTATCACATCAAGAACTAATTCTTATTTTATTATTACAAATTAACAGAGAAACCGGTTACGAATGGCCAGATAGAGTCAAAGACGCCATCTTGGAAAAGTGTGGGCCTAACGCGAATATAGTTCACATGGTCATAGACCAAGAATCCCCAGAAGTTAATAAATACAATTATTTTGTTATGCAATAAGAAAAAGCAAATACTTCAGAACTAGAACTTGGAACCATAACCAGGAACCTGATATGGGATAAATCTATAAATCATAATTCTGAACTTCTCTCTCTAGAAACTTTCTTAACTGGAACTACAATTTAACTGGAACTACAATCCTTTTTGGTCCACTTCTTAGAACCTGTATAAAACATAACCTCTCACGAAGAAAACCTTTCAGGAATATCGTATTCTAAAGAACTTTTAAAGTTTTTTGCTTATCAGAGAACTGCAGAGGTAGTATATTTAGGCACAGCTCGGATTTATAAAAATATATTTTGTCTCGGCTCGAGTTTTTTTTATTTTAATGCATTGCTTGGCTAGATTTTTACTCTCCAGGCCTAATATACGGTTTGTGTTCTGGGTCCGGTTTATTTAAAATATTTATATTATGATTTAAATTTAATAGCACTGAAATATATATTTCTAATATAAAAAAAATTAGGGTTGTGTTTACGTGAAATGCGGAACAAGTGACGCAGCTGGTGCCACTTTCACAGCTTTACATGGATGGTGGTACGGAGGTATTAATTTTCATTTTTTATTCCTTCTTTTTAAAAAAATATTTTCATTTTTAATACATAGCCACCCATGATTATTTTATAATTAATTGACATTCATTAAACCACTTTTTTTAAGGTACATGTCGAGAACCTACATCGCAAAATATTTATAAATCCCTACCTAGAACCCCCCCCCCCCCCTCCCCTATGAAAAGGCTTATGTAGATACTTGGGTTAGGAGTAACTTTACTCTTTTTAAAATATTAAAACAATGATAAAAATGAATGTCCTATCTAGATTATATTAAAAGTATAATAAAAAACGGTATCCAATCTCCTTTTCTGGATAAATTTGATCGGATTTTGTGAATTATATCGTTGCCTAGTTAATGAATGCCTTCTTTTAAATAAAAATTTAAATCGCTATTAAATATGTCAATCAAAACTTAATATTATATTTTTTCTTTATCTAAATTTGATTTAATGATTGATAATAATATCTATGTCCATTGTCTTCTAATGTCACCTTCTTATTTTTTTTACTATTCCTCTATCTTCTTGAACATTAAATCTGTCTCAATTTTTAAACAACGAGTAGAGCATTCCAGTTGACAAGGAATTATATATTTTTAATAAAATAAAATGCAAAGTATTATAAATTATTATATATTGCGTTTAAAAAAAATAATTACATTTCAATTCGTGAATTTAAAAGAAGAAAAAATCCTACGAGAATTTATTTAAGTAATATTTTATTTCACACCCATATACCCCTCTTCTTCTTTTTAGATTGGGGGGGGGGGAAGGTTGGTTTAAGGTTTAGTAATTGAAAAAAATTTGAGCTTAACCGGACCGAGTATAGATTAATATTTTTAATTAAATTTTTTTTATAGGAAATCTTATAGCCGTCAAATACCTGAGACTGCAAAGGTATAACGAACGATTTCCTGATTCAATCAACGCAAACGCTCCCCTACGTCCTCATTACAAATATTGAGATTTCTTTTTGATTTATTGGATTTTATGTTGTTATTATTTTTATAAAATGATGAATTCTTCTGTTAATTTTTTTTCGATAAATAATATTGCCATTATTCTAGTTTATGTAATATAATATTGAGTTTTTTTTAATTGGTCCGACTCAGATATCAGTTTTGCTCCCAGTCATTAAATACTAAATTTTTTATATTATATTAACCTGGAGCTTTTTTAATATCTAACTATTTTACTTCTTATTAATTATGTGTTATGTTATATAATATCATGAATTATTACATAAATGTGTTAGTTACTTATCCATCATATTATTTAGTTTTTATTAAGTAAATAAATAAAATAGCGTTTTTAATCGACCGTATTAATGGTAATATTCTTACGAACTTAAATTTAATGGTGATTTTCAGGTTTCTGATGTCTAATGTAGGTTTATAGTTCCATTTCTAAAAAATAAGAATGATTACTTTTCTAAAAATAAATGATTCTATAATGATAATTCCAGATTATTTTTATTTCATAAATATATCACTATAATAATTATGTCACATGATATCATTGTAAAAAGAACAAAGATAAAAAAAATGTTATTTATCTCTTATTCGAAATCAATTGAAAAACGTCCCTAAATGTCAATTATATATCAACAGATACCAGTTCTATGCGTATTTTGATCATGATAGGGAATCAAACGAGTAAGAGTAAATAATGAGACAAATTTATATTAATGTTCCAGTGTTGCTAAACGCTACTTTTAAAATTAGCGCGCTAACGCTATCGCTCTCGTTTTCAAATGAGTAGCGCAAGCGATTGTATTTATTATAATAAAAGAAGAATACCTTTTTAATTTTCAAAATTTAAATTTATCTGAGATTTAGATTCATTTATAAAAAAATATTAAATAGCATTAAATTATGGTAAATAAAGATTTTAAAAATATAATTATTATACACAAGATAATTAATAATATATTAATTTTGAATTTTATATTAATATTATAGATTGTGTTGTAAATTAAGCCAATTGGGTTGCATTTTTCTCTGAAAATATTTAATACGGCGGCGATGATTCCTCTTCCATATTTGATACAAGGCTCTGGAATCCATTCCAATATCAAACATTAGAGGGTTGTTCGCTACTATTGAGCACTACTTTTTTCAGTAGCGGTAGCCTTAGTGGGCTACTTTTTTTGTAAAATAGCGTTAGGGGTAGCTCGCTACTAATTTAGAAAGTAGCATAATAAATACATCTAAAAATTATTAAAAAATATTTTTTATTAAATATAAATTATAATCCTTTTATTTAATTTAATTTTGAAATTTTAATTTATATTTAAAAATATACATTATAAATCTAGTTAGCATTATAAATCTAGTAATTAAAAATGTGTGAGATTGTTGAAGATAGCGAAATTTCTTTTTAAAAATAAGAAAAATATAGATTATCCTTTCCCAAAATTCAAAAAATACTCTAATCTTGAAGAAAAAATTACTACTGGATATCGGTTTCGATGCAAGATCTGTCGCAAAATTTTATCCTCAAATCATACAAGCAGCTTTAATTTGAAAAAACATAGGTAATATATAAAACAAATTTAATATCAATGTGTAGGCTAATCCTTAATTTTTAAAATAAATTTAAATCAAAGACCAATCATTTTTTTTATATATTCATAAATTTTATCTAAATTATTTTAAACATAAAATAGTTATTTCAATCATTTTTATGCACTTATTTCCTACATAATTTATATTCTAGTGATTACTGTTATAATTTTAGACTTTATAAAGAGATTGAAAAATATCTCAAAAGTTTTGGGGTAATGGACAGGGTAGCCATGTCTCTCCCCATCAGCGGAATACTCCCGCAATTTTTTAATTTACACGCAGACATCTCTCTCCCGCAAAACTACAGCAATTGGAAATCTCCCGCAAAAATTTACCGCAATTTTTTAAATTCTCCCGCAATTTTATTTAAAAGTATTTTAACGTTTTAAATATATAAATAATAATTTATGAGACATTAATTGATTATTTTTATAATAAATTTTAAATATTTATTTGAAAAACATGTCTAGTTTGTAAATATCTTTCTATCCTGTTTTATTTTTACCTAATAATAAATCAACATCATTTCATTCATATAAGTCATATAAGTCAGTACAGGGGAGTATATCAACATCGATTGCAATACAAAAATATTCTCCAAAAATAATAAATAATACAGACGGAACTACAGTTGCGGAAATCGTATACACCTATCATGTAGTTCAACATTCACAGAGCTATATCATCACAATGTGGGTCGAATCTTTTTCCCATGATATTTAACGACTCCAATATAAGTGCAAACCTTACTCGTGGTAGAACGAAAATAAGCAAGGCTATCACAAGTGTTTTAGAACCTGAATCCTAGAGGTCAATTCTAGACGATTTGAAAGATGGGCATCCATATGCAATTCTGACAATTGCATTTAATAAGGGAAATTTTAAAACATTTCCCTTGATCTTTCGCTATTCCAACAAGAATAAGAACATTTCAATAAAACTATTAAATTTTTTTCCTCGAATAGTGAAAAATCCAACGATGTAGCTAACCACATAATGTAAATATAGCTCAGGGTTATCAATGAATTGCATGTCAGCTTTCTGCACTGATAATGCCTCTGTAAATTTTGGCAAAAACCAGAGTGTATTTACCGAATTGAGGCAGCAAAATAATGAATTAAAACCAATTGACTGTATATGCCATCTACATGATTCTTGCAAGAAGGCAATTATCTGTGGATGTCGAAATAATTATGATGAGGTGTTTTAACGAATTTATTACATCAACGAAAAGAGTTAACGAATTAAAAGAGTTGGTGGAGTGGTCTGACTTGGAATGGTGTTAGTTGTTGCGATATGTACCTATCAGGTGGTTATCATTAATACCTGCCATCGATAGAATTTTAAATTTTACAAACCCTTAAAAAAATACTTTTTAAATAAAGATTTTAAAAGCTGTCCTAAAATTTTGAAAAATTTATTCAAGTATGAAATGGCAGAAGCATATTTGGGATTAGTTTCACATGTAAAAATCTTACTTCATGCAGTTAATATTCAGTTGCAATCAAAATATTCTTTATTAATAAAGATTCACAAAATCATGCTACAGCTCTGTTCATCTCTACAGTTAAAAATTGATAATAAATTTTATGGCGCTATTGCTAAAAATATTAAATGTTCAAATAATACTCTAATTAATACATTTTTAAATGAAGCAGATATTTTTATTAAAACAATTTTAGAATATTTACAATCAAAATTTGATTTTAATAACTCTATTTACAAATGTATAAATATTATGACCTTGGAACAGAAACCGTCAATTGATGGTTTTTGTAATTTAATAAATATAAAAATACCGAAAGACATTGATGTCTTGTTTGAGGAGATTGTAATTTTCTCTATTTTTTATGATTCGCCAGAATACTTAAAGTTAGATTGTCTAAAAGCAGAGGAGCATCTAATGTCTCATCCGAGCTCCATTAACAGCATGTAGTATATTTCCTACATGTGAAATCATTCCTAAATATACCTCTGCCATTCATTTTTGAAAAATTTTTTCTAAATATCAGCTTTTATAATCTTTATTTAAGAAATATTTAAAGGTTTATAAAATTTTAAAATTCTATAGATGGCGGGTACTAGGAACATATCGCAACCAATATTGTGCTGACTCAATTCTGTAAATACACTCTGGTTTTTTCCAAATTCACTGAGGCATTATCAGATCAGAAAGTTGACATGTAATTTATTGATAATCCAGAATTTGTTATATTTACCATTATATGGTTAGCTATGTCTTTGGATTTTTCACTATTTGAAGGGAAAAAATTTAATAGTTTTCTTGAAACGTTTTTGAAATAGCGAAGGATCAAAAGAAATATTTTAATATTTTCCTTATTAGATGCATCTATTAGAATATTGCATATGTATGCCCATCTTTCAAATCGTCAAGAATTGACCTACTGAATTCAGGTTCTAAAATATTGATGATATCCTTGCTCATTTTTATTCTACAAGTAAAGTTTTCATTTATCTTGGAGTCGTTAAATATTATGGGGAGGGATTCTACCTACATTGTATGATAAGTAGCTCTGTGAATGTTGTATTACAAGATAAGTGATTACAATTGCTGCAAGCGTAGTTGCATCTATATTATTTCTTATTTTTGGAGAATATTTTTGCTTTGCAATGTATGTAGATTCACTCTTCTGCACTGATTATTAAAATGTGATTGAACAATAATAAATAAAATAATTATCATTGAGTACAATATTACCTTATTATGTATTTAAACGTGATACGTGATAATTAAGCGCCTTTCCCTATAATATTATACACACATAAGTTAGATTTCTAATTGCTGATGTTTTGCGGGACATTCACTTAAAATATATTTTTTACATTATAAAACTAAAATCGTTTGTTTTTTAATAAAATTTTATCTTGTTTACATTCTTTTATATTTAAAAAGGATCGTTGGTTATTTTTTATAAATTATATATTTAAATAAATCAAGATGTTATTTTATTTTAAAAAATAGTTACTGAATTTGTATTTATATAAACTAATTATAAAAAATAATAGGCGGATAATTAAGTCAATTCAAAATCTCGGCCCGGCCGGGATTTTGCGGGCCTTTTTTAGCAAATTTTTTATTTCTACCATATTTTTCATATTTCTCTCGCAATTTTCATATTTCTCCCGCAAAATACCAAATTTCTCCCGCAATTTGAAAATATTGACTTGGCAACCCTGGTAATGGAAGAAGATACATCCACTTCCAAATCAAATTTAATTCAAACAAAATTGATGAATTTGGATTCATCAACACCAGGTGTATCTCAAAAATTGGCTGACAAAGTCATAATGAACTTTATAATAAATACTTTTCAACCAATATCCATGGTGGATAATGGTTCTTTTAGATGATAAACACTTTATCTCCACGTACCAAGATATTTTGCCGGTAGACATTGATAGCAAGAATTTTGGATAGCTTTAAAGAAATGAAAGAATCTTTAATATTAGATCTATGTCTCCTGTTATGCAATATGTTGCTGCCTCACTTAAAATCTTGGAAGGGCAAGATAATATGAGCATAAGATATTATGTTCCCACACTGAGTATATTAATTACCAAGCTCAAAAGAATTAATAATCTATTCTTTCTTTATGGTGCCCCGGCTCTAGGTGGTGGACTTGAATGAGATGACTACCTAACTTAATGAGATGACCAAGAACCAAGAAAATTCTCTAGCAAGTTC